GGCATGAGCCACTGTGCCCGGCCACTGTGTACTGTTTAAGCCATTCAGTCTATGGTATTTTGTTATGGTAGCCTGAGCAGACTAAGACTGAGATTTTGATACTGAGAAGTGGGGTAGCACTGTAAAAATACTTAAAAATGTAGACATTGCTTTGGAACTGGGTAGAGGCAGGAAGAGTTTTGAGATGCATGTTAGAAAAAGCCCAGATAACCATAAATAGACAGTTGCTAAAAATATGGATGTTAAGGGCAATTCTAGTGAGGTCTGTGAAGGAAATGAACATGTTATTTGAAACTAGAGGAAAGGTGATCCTTGTCATAAAGTGACAAATAACTTGGCTGGACTGTGTTCTAGTGTTTTGTGGGAGACAGAACTTGAAAGAGATGAAATGGGATTTCCAGCTGAGGAAATTTCTAAGCAAATTGTTGAAGGAGTGGCTTGGTTCCTCCCGACTGCTTACAGTAAAATGCAGAAGGAGAGAGATGAACTGAAGAAGAAATTGTTGAGCTAATAGGGACTAGAACTTGGAGATTTATAAAATTCTCAGTCCATTCTATCCATATTGTAAAAATGTGAAAGCCTGATCTGAGGAGAACACCAGTGGTGTGGCTAAACAGTCATCCATTAGGAGAAAATGGGGTGGGCACAGCGGCTCACACATGTAACCCTGGCACTTTGGGAGGCCAATGTAGGAAGATTGTTTGAGGCCAGAAGTTTGAGACCAGCCTGGGCAACATAGCACGACCCTGTCTCTATTTAAAAAAAAAAAGGGAAAATGGTATGACTTAACAGACTTAATCAGTCATCTCAGCAGAAGCCATGAATTGGGATGGGATTATACCAGCAAAGACACTACCAGTTTGAACTAGAAAGGACAGAGTGGGACAGAATGAAGAAAGGCTGCTGAACTTCTAGACCATAGAGCTATCTGCTGAACTTCTAGACCATAGAGCTATCTGCTGAACTTCTAGACCATAGAGCTATCTGCTGAACTTTAGAGCTATCTGCTGAACTTCTAGACCATAGAGCTATCTGCTGAACTTCTAGACCATAGAGCTATCTGCTGAACTTCTAGACCATAGAGCTATCTACTGAACTTCTAGACCACAGAGCTATCTGCTGAACTTCTAGACCATAGAGCTATCTGGCTGCTAACATGGACTGTTCTTCAAAGAAAGGGAAGAATGACTCTGAAGGTGACACCGACACCTCAGGGCTGCTGTTCCTACCACAAGCCCAGCGGGCACGGCTGGTCCATCCTTGGTTTCGAAGGGTGAGGCTGCTGCCTCTTTAGATTTGGAGAGCCAGGATGTCTGCGACCAGTACCTCCGTGGTGGGGCTGCCTTGTAGAACCATGGTGGTGCTCTGGGAGGCCGAGGCAGGAGGATTGCTCAAGGTCAGGAGTTTGAAACCAGCCTGAGCTAGAGCAAGACCCCGTCTATACTAAAAATAGAAACAAATTAATTGGCCAACTAAAATATATATATATAACTTAGCCGGGCATGGTGGTGCAAGCCTGTAGTCCTTGGGAGGCTGAGGCAGGAGGATTGCTTGAGCCCAGGAGTTTGAGGTTGCTGTGAGCTAGGCTGATGCCATGGCACTCTAGCCCAGGCAAGAGAGACTCTGTCTCAAAAAAAAAAGAACCATGGTGGTGATGCTACCGCCCCAGTGAACCTGGAGGGCAGAGTATCTAACCAAACAGGATTATTCTTGGGCCTTAAGATTTAATAAAATTTGACTTGCCAGGATTTAAAATTGCTTGGGACCTATCATTCTTTCCTTCTTTCCTTCTTATTTCTCCCTTTTGAAATGGGAATGTCTACCCTACCTATTCACAGTTATATCTCAGAAACACATAATTTGTCTGGTTTCACATGTTCACAGATAGGGAGAAATTCTCTCAGGATGAATCATACCTTGAATCTCACGCATAGCTGACTTAGATGATATTTAGATGAGATTTTGAGCTCAGACTTCAGAGTTGACGGTAAAATGAATGGGACTTTTGGAGCTATTGGGGTGTGTTTTACATGCAGTAAGGACATGGTTTTGGAGGGGGTGCTAAGGGCGGAATGCTATGGACTAAATTATATCTCCAACAAAGTTCGTATGTTGAAGCCCTAACTCCCAAAGTGAATGTATTTGGAGACAGGGCTTACAAAGAAGTAATTAAGGTTAAATGAGGTCATAAGGGTAAGGCCCTGATACAGTAAGGTCGGTGTCTGCCTAAGAAGAGATACCACGGCATGTGCTCCCTCTCACCTTCTGCCCCCTTCTTGCTACGTGAAAACAAGGAAGAGAGCCCGCAGTGGAAACCAAATAGGCTGCAGCTGTGATCTAATACTTTTCAGCCTCCAGAAACAAGAGAAAATAAACGTATGTTGTTTAAACCATACAGTCTACGGTATTGTTATGGCATCCCGAGCAAACTAAGATAACACACAAAGTAAAGATTTTAGTACTCTAAGACTACAGTGGATTTGGTATGTAAGGAGTAGGGGTAGTATCCTTTGGCTTTTAAATTGCTAAATTCTGCCTCTGATTTCCTTTTGCAACATTTTAAAGACCTTTTAGTCTCTTTAACAGATAGTCACACCTGTTAGAGTACTCTAAATTCAATTAGTATGGAAAGGAATATTTTAAGAAGACAAACAGAAAAAAGAGTTTTTGTGTGGGCCAACTGCTGGTTTCTTTTGCTTATCTCTGTGAAGGTGGGGTTCACAGAGCCCTAGTAGTTTAGTAGTTTATTCCTCTAAGGTTGTACAATCACTTGGGCACTTCTGCAAAGAGAAGAGGGTCTTCAAAGAGACATTTATCTTCAGCATTTAGCATAGAACATCCTTTCTCAAACCTGCCAACAACCCCCAGTATATAACCACTTGCCACCTGTTCTTTGGAAATTGCTTTTGCATCATTACAAGGAAAGAAATCAATACCAGACCATTGATTTGGGAAGGAGACAAGATTGCAAGGCAATAATACATAAAGTTAGTCAAGCCCTACTTCTCAATTGTTTTGAAAGAGCGGAGAGTTCAGTGCCCCTTTCTGAGATAGGTGCTCATCCTGCATTAGTGATCTTGCAGCAATAAAGGCCCAAGATAGATAAAGGCACCATAACCCCAACTGAAAGAACAGCTCTCAAGTGCTACACAGAATCTCAGAATGCCCTGTTGGACTCGATAGTAATGTATTAACTCAAATCCAGATCCCTACTCTGTAGTTTACCCCTCAATTTAATTTAAAAAGTGTGGGCTGGAGCACAGGGTCGCTCTGCCAGTGCCACCAGACAGCCAAGTGGTGTAGGTGCTCCAACTGTAGAGAGCAGCCAGTTGAAGGTCTGTTCCAAACATATATTCTATCTTGATAGACAGGTAAGGCCAATCTTTTACTTTATCCATTAATTTACTAAGATACTATCTGGTCCTTCTAAGCCAAATTAACATGTAAAAGTCATTTAGATATGTTAATTGGCTTTGAACCAGTGAATAGAGTCAGTAAAAAGGGACTAAGGGAAGGGAGAACATTACCTTAAGTTTACACAGAGCTTTGTATTTTTCAAAACCCTTTCACATGCATTATCTCACTTGATCCTCACCTCAATCCCATAGAGTAGATGGATTATCACTGTAAATATCTGAAAAAGGAGGAAATTGAGGCTCAAAGACTGTTACTCTCTTTTTTATGTATTTATTTATTTATTTTTGAGATAGAGTCTCACTCTCTTGCCTGGGCTAGAGTGCCATGGCATCAGCCTAGCTCACAGCAACCTCAAACAATCCTCCTGTCTCAGCCTCCCAAGCAGCTGGGACTACAGGCACACCCACCATGCCTGGCTAATTTTTTCTATTTTTAGTTTTTTTGCTAATTTCTTTCTATTTTTAGTAGAGACAGGTTCTTGCTCTTGCTTAGTCTGGACGTGAACTCCTGAACTCAAGCAATCCGCCCGCCTCGGCCTCCCAGAGTGCTAGGATTACAGGCGTGAGTGACTGCGCCTGGCCTGTTACTCTCTTAAAGTAACCTAGGGAAGAAGCAAGTGGACAGTGAAAGAAATAAACACTTATCAGGGGACATTTTGTTCTCTTTTAATCAAACAACAGCCTCATAAGATGGGTACCATTTTTGACCAAGCTACAGAGTGAGAGAGCTAGGATCTGAACCCAAATCTTTTGGACTTAAAAGTCCATGCCTAATTTGTTATGTTGATGAAACCTATGGCTTACTGTTACAGTGAATATAACTGGGCAAGAATTCTTGATATCAAGAGTTTTAGCTGTCCTGAAGTAGTGGGTTGTCTGGAATGAGGAATACACACATAAGAAATTAATAAACAACATAATGGACAAAGTGCAATTACGAAGTCAGAGATATCTGTTTAAAACTACTGCTTGCCAGTTGTGTGACCCTAAGCAAGTTAGCTTACCTCTCTGAGCCTTCATTTCCTCATCTGTCAAATGGAGAAAAAGATCTTAACCTCATAAAGCTGACAAGAAGATTAAATTACATAACATAAAGTTCCTGGCATATCAACAAATATTAATTATCTTCCTCTATAAAAATGTTTCTCTAGAAACCTTAGAAGTTATCGAGTAGGGTAGATAAGAGTCTCTTATTTGGTAGAGAATAAAGACAGACACATGGAGTGAAAAAAAGACCTCATTTTTATAGGTAGCCCTTACAAATAGCTGCAGCTCAAGGATTATCTACTTTAAGAAGACATCTTTGACTTCTAGAGTTTGTGTTAAGGTCCTTCCAAGCTTCCACAGGATTCCTGTTTACCTACATCCTAGCATGCGGTATACTGTTGTAACTCTGTCTCTTTACATGTCTGCTTTCTCCTCTAAATAATAAATAAGCCCCTTGCTTATAATACTATCTGGTGTAAGGTAGATGCTCAATACTTGCAGAATGGAGGAACAGAGAAAAGAAAGGAGGAAAGAGGAATGGATCCAACCTAATAGCGTGCTGGTAAGATTAAAATGAGATTTATAATATTTTCTTACCTTGACTGCATAGTTATTAAGTGGATCTTTTGCATATGAAGCAGTATAGTAAACTGCATCACCTGCCTCACAACATGGTTTGTCGCTGGTTAGCCTGAAGTCTGACCAGCTGTCCACCCCAAAACGGAGTTGGTCCTTCTGCCCAGCCATGAAGAGGTCTTCGCATTTAACAGCCAATTTCTTCAAGGCATCTGTATGAAGGCTTCGGATTTTCCCCACCACTTCCTCCCGATTCTCAAGTCCTCGATAAAGTGCTTGTCTTTTTGGCTTTGGAATGCCTCGGCCTGGCCTGCACGAGGGACCACGCCGGCTGGACAGGGACTCCATGCTGTTGGAAAATCTGTCCTTAATACTGAGAGTGGTTAAACTGGAGATGCTATTTGCTGCTGAGGGGACAGGTCTCTCCTTGTGCAAAGGTCTCTCCAAGGAATCATAAGACTCAATGTCCAGTCCCTTGAGTTCATAGCTGATGGAAGAGCCAGCACTGCTGGCATCCCAGTTGGGGTCGATATCATAGGTGGGATTAGCCAGGACACACAGACTACTTTCCATGGATTTTTGGAGGTCTTTGGAGATCGGCTCTGTATTGGCTCTTATGATCATCTTCTTTGGCAGTGGGGGTGGAGTAGGTTGGGAAGCATTAGGTGCTTCTTGGTCTGTTTTTCCCCCAAAGGCAATGGTATCATCCAAAGCTCCCTTGGGCTGCCGTGGATGCTTGGGAGGTATCATGGCTGCTCTAGATTGCCCTGCATTTTAAAAGAAAGAAAGGGGGAAAAAAGAGAATAATTAAAGTTTTCAATCTCATTTCATAATTGAAACTTGAACAGAAATGGGTGAAGTAGCCATAGGAATGTCAGAATTAGTCAATGCCTTAATTCGAAATGGGAAAAGAAAACAACCAAAGAACAAATACCTAAACATGGAAGTTATAAGTTCAAGACTTGGTGGGAATAACAAATATGCCTGATGTTTCAGCATCTCTTTGCCAGAGGAACAGGGCACTAGTTTGGGGGATAGGCTTTGTTTTCAAAAAGGAATCTAGATTTTCCAGTCCTGCTCCCAAGAGTGCTGTATTCACCACACCAGAATACTATGGAATTACAGACACTCAAATATATTTGCATTGTGACAGAGTAGTGAAGACAGCATTGTGGATAAAGAAAATACTTGGGAGCATTATTATAAACAGAATTGAAACTAGCAACGGGACCATTAAAGGCTCAGAAGATATTATTCTGTTCTTAGTACTTGTCTTTTTACATATGTCTACAGCTATAGACATATAGATGTAGACATATATCTATATGTATACATATATCTATATATCACTTGTCATGTATATAGCATTTTCCAACACATGAATTCAATTTCATAAGCCATGTTATTTTATTTCACTATCGATTCTAGCATTGCTTAAACTGGTCCATGTGTAAGATTCCTGTTACTTTGGCAAGGGGAACAGTGTATATGAGCAGTCAACTGCTGTTCCAAATAGTCATTCACAAACTCTTAAATGATTCTGTTTTATTTTAGGGGGCTTATTTGCTGTGATTTGAGAGATGCTACTTTTGAAGATCTTTTACAAGCCCTAGTTAGAGAATCACTCATCTCTGCTTAGCTTCCAGCACTTATGCTTAGAAGAAGACAAAACATGTGTGTGTTCAATTACACCTCAGGACTTACTGTACGATTGGGAGGGGACATTATCTTTTTTTAAAATTTTTTAATTTCAGCATATTACTGGGGTACAAATGTTTAGGTTATATATATTGCCCTAGCCCCATCCGAGTCAGAGTGTCAAGCGTGTCCATTCCCTAGACAGTGCTCACTGCATCCATTAGGTGTGTATATACCCATTCCCTCCTCCCCCCTACCTGCAGGATACCCGATGAATGTTTGTTACTATATATGCACTGAAGTGTTGATCAGTTAATACCAATTTGTTGGTGAGCACATGTGGTGCTTGTTTTTTCCATTCTTGTAATACTTCACTTAATAGAATGGGTTCCAGCTCTATCCAGGATAATATAAGAGGTCACCGTTGTTTTTTGTGGCTGAGTAGAACTCCATGGTATACATATATGAAATTTTATTAATCCACCTATGTATTGATGGGCACTTGGGTTGTTTTCACATCTTTGCAATTGTGTATTGTGCTACTAGGACATTATTTTTTAAGGACAGAGAAATATAACATGAAACTTCCATAAAAGTTACTAAAATTAGTCATGTTATTAAGATGAGGCTTCTACTCAATGATCTCAGAGTTAGAGCATAATGGTCTATTATGGATTGAACTATATCTTCCCAAAAGGTATCTTGAAGTTCTAAGCCCTGGTACCTGTGAATATGACCTTATTTGGAAATAAAGTCTTTGTAGATGTGATCAAGTTAAGATGAAGTCATTAGGGTAGGCCTAATCTAATGACTGGTGTCTTTAAAAGAAGAAAATACACCATGTGAATACACAGATGCACAGGGAGAACATCATGTAATGACAGAGGCAGAGATCTGAGTGATGTAGCTGCAGACCAAGGAATGCCAAGGGTTGATGGCTACCACCAGATGCCAGGCAGAGGCAAGAAAGGATTCTACACAATGTCTCAGAGCATGGATACCTTTCAGACTCCTAGCCTCCATAACAGCGAGAGAATATATTTCTGTTGTTTTAAGACACCTGTTTGGGAAACTAATACATGCTTCTACTGATGATCATACAGAGTAGAAGGTACTTGATGGTTGTGAGGATGATAATGAATAGAAGTATTAGCCCTCTTAGTGGATGCGGGCGGGCCGAAATATCGGCTTTTTGCCCTAGACGAAAAAGCCGATTATTTCTGCCCGCCGCACTAAGAGGGTTAAAGTCATGTCCTTGTAGCAATGCCAAGTGTAAGCACCAATATAAATGTGATTGTAATAATAATACAGAGTAATGCATCACATAGCTACGGGATAAGTTCTGAGAAACGCGCCATCACACAGACATTATAGAATATACTTACACAGACCTAGATGGTACACCTGCTACACACCCAGGCTATATGGTGTAGCCTATTGCTCTTAGGCTACAAACCTGTATAGCATGTTACTGTACTGAATACTACAAGCAATTGTAACACAATAGTTATTTGTATATCTAAATATAGAAAAGGTACAGTAAAAATACAGTATAAAAGATTAAAAAAATAGTAAGCATGTACAGGTCACTTACCATGAATGGATGGAGCTTACAGGACTAGAAGTAGCTCTGGGTGAGTCGGTGAGTGAGTGGTGAGTGAATGTGACGCTCACTAGTGCTCATAGTGCACTAGGACGTTACTGTGCACTATCAGAGTCTTTATAAACACTGTACACTTAGGCTACACTACATTCATAAAAAATGTTTTTTTCTCTTTAACAGTAAATTAATCTTACTGTAACTTATTTACTTATAAACTTTAAAATTTTTTAAACTTTTTGGCTCTTTTGCAATAACACTTAAGTTAAAATGCAAACACATTATACAGCTGTTCAAAAAGATTTTTTCTTTTTATCTTTACTCTATAAGCTTTTTTCTATTTAAAAATTTTTAATTTTAATTTTTTTTTACTTTTTAAACTTTTTTTGTTAAAAACTAAGACATAAGCACACACGAGCCTAGGTCAGGACCATCAGTATCACTGTCTTCACAGCTCTTCCCACTGAAGGTCCCGAGGGCCATAGCGTGCGCTGGGCTTCATCTCCTATGATAGCCGTGCCGTCTTCTGGATACTTCCTGAAGGACCTGCCTAAGGCTGCGTTATAGTTCACTGCTTAAAAATAAGTATATGGAGTACACTCTAAAATAATGATAAAAAGTATAGTATGATAAATACATTAAACCAGTAACAGTCTATTTTTATCACTGTCAAGCATTATGTACTGTATGTGCTACACTTTTACATGACTGGCAGCACAGTAGCTTTGTTTACGCCAGCATCACCACAAACACACGAGCAGCCTGTTGTGCTACAACATCACCATGGCTACATCACTAGGGAATAGGAATTTTTACGGTCCATTACAATCCTATGGTACCACTGTTGTATATGCCATCTGTTGTTGACCAAAACATTGTTATGTGGCCCATGGCCATATTACATTTCCCACATACACAACTTTCTTCAAGGATACCTAAGACATTATATAAACTATAACAATATATACAGCAAACCTAAGGACCTGCTTTCTTTACCAATGACATGTAGCTATATTTTTACAAGGCATAGAACAAGGCATGATACAATAAATATAAATAAACAAAAATAGGTATACAGAGAGAGCATGAGAGCAAGAGAGAGATATAATATGAGGATGCTAACCTCTAAGAGGGCTAGGGCTTTTGGTTTACTCATTGTTTAACCTCTATGCCAAGAATAGGGTCTGGATATAATAGGTACTCAATAAATATTTCTTAAATGACTGAACCAGTAAATATTTAAGGTTGAAAGAAAAAGTAGTAAAATTGTATAGGGACCTATAAGAAGGAATTAAATTGAATAAGTAATTTTAAACATTCCCACACAAAAAAACCCCCAGGAGACCAGAGAGCTTCACTAATGAATCCTACCGAATGTTCAAAGAAGTATTAAAATCAATCCTTTGCAAACTCTTCCAAAAAAATAGAGGAGGTGGAGGGAACACTTCCCCACTTGAATTCTATGGGGCCAATATGACCTAGATAACAGAACCAGAAAAAGACATCATAAGAAAACTAGAGACTAGTATCTTTTTTTTTTTTTTTTTTTGAGACAGTCTCACTTTGTTGCCCAGGCTAGAGTGAGTGCCGTGGCGGCAGCCTAGCTCACAGCAACCTCAAACTCCTGGGCTCAAGCGATCCTCCTGCCTCAGCCTCCCGAGTAGCTGGGACTACAGGCATGCGCCATCTTTCTATTTATAGTAGAGATAGGGTCTTGCCCTTGCTCAGGCTGGTTTCGAACTCCTGACCTTGAGCAATCCGCCCGCCTCGGCCTCCCAGAGTGCTAGGATTACAGGCATGAGCCACCGCGCCCGGCCGAGACTAGTATCTTTTAAGAATACAAATGTAAAAATCCATACAATATACTAGCAAACTGAATCTATCAACATATAAAAAGGATGATAAGGTGGGATATATCCCAGGAATGCAAGGTTGGTTTAACATCTGAAAAATCAATTAATGTAATATACCATGCTAACAGAATAAAGGGGAAAAACTTACATGATCACTTCAAAATAGATGTAGGAAAAAGCATCTGATAAAATCCAACACTTTTTAAATAAAAACAGCACATAATAAACTATAAACAGAAGGGACATCTTCAACCTGATAAAGGCATCTGTATAAAACCAAGAGCTAACATCATACTTAATGATAAAAGACTGGATGTTTCCCCCCTGAAATCAGGAAGAAGATAAGGGTTTCTGTTCTTGCCGTTTATATCCTACATCATACTGGGGGTTCTAATCAGGGAAATTAGGAAAGAAAAAGAGATAAAAACATCCAGATTGGAAAGAGGAAGTAAAACTGTCTCTGTTCACATAATCTTATATACTGAGAAGCCTAAGGAATCAACAAAAAAAAAAAAGAAAAAAAAACCCCAAGCCTATTAGAACTAATATACCAGTTCAACAAGATCACAGGAAACAAGATCAATATACAAAAAACAATTGCATTTCTATATACTAGAAATGAATAATCCAAAAATACAATTAAGAAAACAATTCTATTTATAGTATTATCAAAAAG